ATAGAGGTTGATCTGGTGGGGTTAGCTGACCACAGTTCCAAAGGGTTTCGGCTATATCAGCATGGCGGCCAGGAAGTACGGCCACCTGGGGCCGCTGCGCTTTCGCACCGAAACGTATCCCCAAGGCCAGGACCACAGGCTCTGAATTGCCATCGATGGCCCGATGATGAGGAAAGGAAAAATGGACAGGGCGCAGACCCAGCATCTCTGACGGCCTAGATCCCGCATGGCACTGTAACACCAAGCCTAGGCCCAGCCTCACGCGCCCTGCGGACGCCAGGTCGATGCTCATCAGCTTGCCAGGCGCCTTTCCAAGCGGGACGGTGTGCTTGATCACTCGCGACCTCTCCCAGCCACGAAGCACCGCATGGGCCCACTTCAGCTTGCCCTTCATACGAGGGAAAAACAACAAAACTTCGACGGCGTGAGCAAGGGCTCGCATGAATTCTCGTACTCCGCCAGAGCGTCGTCCCACTGGTCCAGACCGACGGGGTTCAGGTGATTGGCGATCGCCCAAGAAGTGAAGCCTCGGGCCTCCCGCCTGCACGTCTCGATGGTTTGCGGCTTGACCCGCGCAGTTTGGCGGTGGTCCAGGCGCCTGGGCCCACGCCACCGCATGTACGACGCGACAGCCAATCTGCTGCCTGGCGCTTGGTGTCCACCCAGGGCAGCACGAACATGATACCGGTAGCAATACTGAGAGCAGCTCGCCGTCGAAGAAATATGTTGAGGCTCACTGCCGACGAGCGCCCTTTGGCCATGGCCGCGGAGAGGCCCCCATCGCCCTCCAGGTTGGCGACCAAGTAGCCATGCGCCCCAGGGGCGCGGCTGAGCGCGGCTAGCAGCCCAAGGGCCGCCCTCGCCCTGCGTGATATGGCCAAGGCGCTGCCATCGCCCAGATCCAAGCTCCTTCCAGTCCCGCGGCGGCTTCTCGAGGAGACTCCTCGGCACTCTGGAGACTGCGATGCGGTTCGCGATCTCCTGGTCGGCTCAGTTGAGGTGACCGACCCTGCCGTCGAGCCTCGCGACGGCGTGGCCTGGCCGCGCGCCCGCAGCAGTCAGAGCCTCCCTCTCGGCGAAGTCAGCGGGAGCTCCCACGATGCCGAAGCCGCCGAAATCCTCGTCGTTGACCCCCTCAGCGTCGGACGAGAACGCCAGCGGAGAGGCAGGCAGGTCCAGCGCGCACTTCATCGCGGGGACCAAGTAGGCCATGGCCCGCAGCTCGCGCCTCGCTGAAGGCCACCACGTGATGACCTGGTTGGCGTGCTTCTCGATCATGCTGAACACCGCGCAGGGGGGCCGACATCAGCTCGCGGCGCAGCAGGGCCCCCCAAAGCCACGCGCAGACCACCGCCAGCAGCAGCTCCACGTCGACCCAGTCCACCTGCAGCAGCCACAAGCAGCTCTCGCGCAGCAGCCAGCCCTTGCGCGGGTCGAAGCGCAGCGCGGGCGGCGACCGCTGGACGCGGCAGCCCACCGCCTCATGGTCGTCCTCGGCCTCGACCCGCTCGGTGACCAGGAAGCCCTCGGCCTCCCAGCCGTCGGCGACCTGCTGCATCAGCGCGTCGCACTTGGGTCGATCCTCGGCCCCGACCGCCATCACGAGGCCGTCGTCGACGTGCACGTAGCTCGCTACGTCGTCGGGTCCGATCGAGAACTCCGTGCTCTGACCGTACTTCTCGTTGAGCATCACGAACTTTTCTCCGAGTGGACCCTTTGCTTCTCTACTCCACTGGCTCGTGCGAGGCCGCGCTGTCGAAGGACGTCTCCAGCCCCCCGGCCCTCTCGACTCCAGTCGCATCTGCACCAAGGTGCGGCCCATACACCATCCAAAGAAACGACGCGGACCTGAAGGATAACTCTGAAGGCGCCGCGAAGCAAATATTCCCAAAGAGTTTTCACTTCGAACATCGTCATGAGTACGAAGCCCATCGCAGTGCAAAGTACCCTCAGATAGCCCGAGGAGATTGGAGAGAAGACCCATAGGTTTTTGGGCCACCCCCCCCAATACGCGTCCCTGGGCCCCCTTGCATACACCTTGAAGCTCAGCGTTTTGCGCGTGATGAATCGCTGCGGTCGGCGCCCGGCTTCGATGGCGCGACGACGCAGCCGGCGCGCTGACGGATCCCCCGCGAAATTGATCCACGCAACTGGGCCATCGATCACGCTGAGCTGCCCGGTCGGAAACTCAGCACGGTCGCAGCATACCTTCGGCAGCGCACTCGCTGATGGGATCGTCGGCAGGCGACCAACGGCACGTCGGCACCTCGGCTCCGCCGTCCTGTGGTAAACCCTGCATTGACGACTACCCCCAGGCAGATGCCAGCGCGCTGCAGGCAATGCATTGTAACTGAGCTACCCGAAGAGTCGCGGGCGCTTCTTCCACGGGCTCTGCTGGTCGAAGCGCGGACGCAACGCGGGCGCGCGTGACTTCTCGCGCCGCCAGTTGCTGTCGACACGCTGGGCACTGAGAGGACGGCGCCCACGCAGGGTCGCTGAA